GGATTGTTGTTGGGGGCGATATGCTGACTCTGTAAACCGCTTAGGGAGGGCTGAAAGCCCTATGAAGCGGTGTATAAGTCTAACTGCTATTGCTATCATTTTTATTTTCTAAAAATACCTGTGGGACCCAGAGAAGTTCTAAAAAATACCTGTGCTTTGTTTTGTAACAAATACACACTCTCATTTCATTTTTAAAAAAAGGCATGTTACTGCTAACAGGCAACATCCTGGGGACCAAAAGAATGACGCTAAACCTTTTCTTGCTGAACAAAGCAAAATAAAAGAGTTTTGAACAGATATTCATACATTTAAGGAAAACATGTGTTTATTAGATGTGCAAAATTTATTGACGTGAATACAACATCCAGTATCCAGATTAAAGACATTTGATATGTTTCAAAGGGAGGCTTCTTCATAATATTCAGTTTCTAGATCAGTGTTTCTCAACCTTGGCAACTTGAAGATGTCTGGACTTCAACTCACAGAATTCTCCAGCCAGCGAATGCATTCGCTGGCTGGGGAATTCTGGGAATTGAAGTCCAGACATCTTCAAGTTGCCAAGGTTGAGAAACACTGATCTAGATGAATGAATGTTGAACATTCTAATATTTACAAAATAAAACTCTTAAATACACTACCTGTTCTCCTCTGTAGATGACGTATTCGGCTAAAGCTAGCCCATTCACGCTAGGTCGTCCAGTAACTGAATGGTGTCCTGGTGGAGAATGAGCCATTTTCATGGCACTGAACTGTAGGAATGATTTACCCAGAGTTACTCGGCAAAAAAGCAACTGCCTATATTAAACAAGAGAAGCATTTCATTAGTAAATGTGTAAAAAAAATAAATCTAGTGAGAAAGACCGTTGGCTTACCTGAACGGTCGTTCTCTGGGCGCTGCGGGAGAGTCTAAGCATGGGTTAGCGAAGTCTATCTGCCCTAGGACTGAGTGAATTTTTCTTTGACCACACCTCCCTTTGCCTCATTGAGATCAGTTTAAAAACGAAGATGTACCCGTTGTGGGACGCCCGCTCCATAGTCAATTGACAGGTAAAGGTCTTGAACACCTCAGACGACCCTGGGTGGGTTTGGACTCTCCCGCAGCGCCCGGAGAACGACTGTTCTGGTAAGCCGACGGTCTTTCTCCTGTGCGCTGCTTGGAGAGTCCAAGCATGGGATATACCCAAGCTGTTGTGTCCCAGGGCGGGAATTCTCCAGATTGTCCGGAGCCTCGGCAACTTTTTGCAAAACTCTTCTTCCAAAGGAGGCTGAGGCAAAGGTGTCAATTTTATAATTTCTGACGAATGCTGTGGGAGAAGCCCACGTAGCCGCTTTGCAAATGTCAATGATGGACACTTGGGTCGCCCACGCTGCGGAAGTGGCAGCACTCCTTGTTGAGTTTGCCGTCACGCGACCTGGTACGGCCCTGCCCTGATGCTCATAGGCTATCTTGACGCAGGACCGCAACCAACATCCAATGGTGGAAGATGGTGCCTTGCGGCCCAGCGACCCAGGATGAAATGATACAAACGAGGATTTGGAACGTCTATAGTCCTCGTAACATAGATACGGACAGCACGTCTCACGTCCAACCTATGCCAAGTACGCTCCTTGGGATGTGTAGGCCTAGGACAAAAGTTGGGAAGAACCGCTTCCTGGGCTCTATGAAAATGAGTGTTTACTTTAGGGATGAATGTGGGATCGAGTCTCAAGATGTCTCTATCAGGGTGTATTATGCATAGCTCTTCCCTGACGGAAACAGCCGCTAGCTCTGAGACCCTTCGAGCAGACGTAATCGCCACCAAAAAGGCAGTCTTAAGAGTCAGGTGATGAAGGCTCGCCGTTCAAATGATTGTAAGGTCTATGGTAGGAAGAGGAGGTGGACGCCTACGCGGACTCCTGCATTCGAAAGGACTGCTTCCTAAATGAACCAGAGTTTTTTCGCTCATTTTTCTTCAGAGTGGCCGGAAGGACTTTCCGTTTGTCCTTCGTCCCCATCACAAATTTGTCCAGAGCGTCCCCAAAAAGCTGTCCCCCTTTGAAGGGAGCAGAAGCAAGCTTCCACTCCGCCTTCATGTCGGCCTGCCATCAGCCACAGCAGATGGTGTGAGGTTACGTTGGATGCCAAAGCCCGGGACGCGAACTTTGCCGCATTCATTCGTCAGCTGAATACTCCATTGCGGTAATAATTTTGCTGAGATCATGATGCCACCGAGATCCCTCAGGAGGAGGTTTGGATCTCAGTTTTCTCAGCCAGAGGAGGGATGCCCTGGTGAAAAAGGATGCGGAGGTGGATGCCCTGATGGCCCAAGCGGCCGCCTGATGCGTCTTATGGCACGCCTTCTCGGATCTTTTGTCTTCCACTTTGAGCCTTTCCAGAAGGTCCGCCGGTAGGTTTGAACTGGAAGTCAAGGAGACCACTGGAGTATCCACCTCAGGCAACTTCAAA